ATTGATAAACGAGTTTGAGAAATAGGTAAAGTACGTTATGAGGGAAATGGTGTTAGACATCCTATATCCAAGAAAGGCTATCAAGGAATAAACCAAAGGTGGAAGCCAAGAACCCAAGGCGATGAGAGACACTAATAACAAGGTCTTCGTTAAGCGTCGTCTTTGAAAGGCTCTGTTTTGGTGATGAGGAACAGGTTGTTGCTGAATCTTTCTCCAAACACCGAAATTGAGGCCGCTGGTGATTAGAAGTACAGACACGAAGATTAAACACACTAAAGAAGTCGGAGCCACCAGGCTTACGAATTGCAGAAGAAAAACAATAAAAAGAGACCCAAGGATACTTAATGTCCACACTGTCAAAATAACGAACCTGTATGCTCGCGTAGAAAGTGTCTGCCGGTGCTTCAGCGGCCAATAGATGGCGTAAAATCTCTCACAAGATATCAACGCAGCGGTAATGAATGATGCCTTAGCGAAGACGAAGAAAATTATTGTAAAAAACGTTGGAGTTTTTTCATCAACTCTAACCTGACCGTGAGCCAGGAAATAGATATACATAGGGAGACATACAGCTCCCAGAAACAGATCAGCAAATGCCATATTCAAAACAAGATATAAACTTTTCTTAGATCGTAGTTTCTTGTTAAGTGCAAAAAGTATAATTATGAGCAAGTTTCCCACGACAATAACAACAGCTTCCGTCGCAAGAGTACAACTCCAAGCGATGACTTGTACCGAAGAAAAGGACATATCGTCCAGGTGATTGATGGTTGATTTATTTGTCTGATTTGTCATCTCTTGGTCAATGCAAACTCTTTCTTTAGTGTTGCATGAGAAACAGACTTCTAGCGACCTACGAGGTTCAGTGATGATGCCGGTTATTTTTCTGCAAATGACTTTGAATAAATGTAAAAAAAAAAAAACCGACAAAATGGATTATTTAGATAACTGACCAACTGACAGAACACTGAACAAACGCAACAGTTTGACATGGTTGATTTATTTGTCTGATTTGTCATGTCTTGGTCAATGCAAACTCTTTATTTAGTGTTGCATGAGAAACAGACTTGTAGCGACCTACAAGTTTCTTTGATAATGGTTATTTTGCTACAAATGACTTTTAATAAATGTAAAAGAAGACAAAGTAGATCTGATTTGCATAACTGGCCAGCTGATAGAAGAACAAAGGCGACAGTTTGACAATCATAGAGGTCTAGAAAGTTTTGAATTTTCGGCAAAAAATTGATAGATTACCTGTTTTCTCTATGGAGCGCTCACCAAAAAAGTTATTCAAAATTTGTGAAAATTTGAAGGTAACTTGTATACAACTCTGAAATAGTAAAAAATATTGAATTCCAAAAAGTGATATTACTGTATTTGAAATAAAAGGAGAATGAAAATTGGTAGCATAATTAGTAGGCTTTTGTACATTATGCTTTTACTTCCCTACTAAAATGCTCCACCTTAATGCTCCATTTTTCCTACTAAAATGCTCGGTCTCCCCAAAAGAGTCACTAAAATGCTCGGATAATGTTCATTATACAAACGGTTTTTTTTAAAATTAATTTCAAAGTTTACACTTACAAAAACGTGCAAATGTTGCAAGTAACAACGACAACGTATACAAGTTCATAAATACAGCCAAAAAACCAGCTTTATTTGGTTTTTTGTGAATTTTGAATTTTAGTCTTCATTTTGTTTAAAAAAGGAGGAGCTCATGGGGTATGGGCTCCTGAAAAAAGTTAATTTCCATTTTATTTTCTCGGAAAAATTAATTTTCTGGCGAAAACGCGACTAAAATGCTCGGATAATGCTCAATGCTTTTGTCTCACTAAAATGCTCGAAAAAATGCTAGCATAATGTACAAAAGCCTAATAATTAGCCTTTTTTCATTGCTTGTCATTAGATCTGTTTTGTAAAAGCTTCCAGCTAGGTTGTGCTCATGAATTTTAATAAATGCAAAGCAGCTGTCCACGGCTGTTTCTTGACTACTCTGTTAGTTTCCGGATCCATACCGGTTTACCGTTTTACCGTTTTACAGAAATCGGTCAGATTTTCCATAATAAATATATTTTTAGTAAACAACTTTAATCTTTCCAAGTTGAAATCCGCAAAGTGATTTGGACAGTGAGTAAATATCTTATCTGAATGACTCAGAAACCCAGGGAAGGGGACTTTGGGGAGTTAAAATCAAAAAATTGCCTGAGGAACCATGCCCCCAGACCTCCCTAGAAGTAGGAAATCGGTCAGTATTGATTCTTGATCCGCGCCTGATTTCCATCCATTTTGCCGCTGAATCGTTCTTACTTTGGTATGTCCTATTCTATTCTAATCCGGCACAGTCGGTTTGCTTGTTGGTAAGGACAATTTGAGATATAACATATTTTGCGTAAGTAGACGTTTTAAGGGGTATATTGTCCACTTTAGCAGGATAAGGGATTGACAACACTCAGCATGCTATATATTATACGTAAGATTTATTATCAGTATCTGGCAGTAGTAGTTAATGGTGGGCTTTATCGACCGCCTTTATTTTTCTGTAATGTGTCTGTTCATTTGTGCCTGTGACTTTTAGTGTTTTTGGCTCTCCCATAAAGCAGTGTTGGCAGTTATTGTATAAATAACAGCTCCTCGGTACAGCATGCGTATCCAAGCTTTTACACAAGACCTCTTATTTTACTTATACTACAAACTAGGTAAATAATCTTCGTATTTATCTAGAAAGTGTTTGCTTTGCAAGTTATTCTTCATTTTAAAAGTGTTAGTTTTTTTTAATCTCTTATCATAGGGAGTATTCATGTTACGAATGGCCCTCCCCTTCTTTTGTGTTCAAACTGTACGCTGTCACGGCAATTAAAGGTTCAGCTGGAATTAAAATCCTCTTCTTGAATGACAATCGCTTTGAAAGAAAATTGTTATCAAGACGACATCAAATGGTCTGCAGCTTTCACGTTTAACGCGGCTTTTATGAATATTGTAGATATTGGTATTGTTTTTAAAGCAAGAATTGTTAGAATTCAGGCACTTTATACATGTAATAAAAGATCATGATGATGATTCTCATGCAGTGTTCGCTTACAATGGCGGGTAACTTTTTCCGAAGGGATGGAACAGGTGGTCACATAATTGGTTTCCAATAAGTGTGCTTCGAAAGTCCATACTAAGTTTTCATCACAAAGTCAGTCTGTAAGCGCGTAGAAAGATAGCGTGTATCGTTTATTAACGTCTATTTGATGTAAAGATCAGAGCGATTTGCTCTTGATTTTGTTGTATGTTGAAGTATATGAATTAAACGATGATGCACAGTGATTTTGTTAGAAAAAATAGTGATGAATCCTAGGACTCATCCTGTTAATAATCTTGAGTCCCAATGTAGAACCAGTGGGTCGGATATTTAAATGAAGTCTAACTTAGACCGCGTTTAAGAAATCTTTGGACAACCAGATCTCTTCCTTAGTGGGTTATTTTAAGAAGATAAATGCTTTCTAGCATACACTATATGCTTAAATAAAACTGTTCACTACAAATAGCGTTTAGATAAAAACGTTGGGTAAACTGAACGCGGTTTTGTTAAAGACTCCATTGTTAAACCCCGTTTAAATAACCTGCCCAATAAGTCCCAGGTCAAAAAACAACAAGTTCTAAATTGTAAATGCTTTGGTCTTATGTAACAAGGCAGTTTCTGAATTTGAAGACAGACTCCAAAACTCTTTATTTCAGCTTACTAAAGCCACAGAAATCACACGAACTGGATTTTTTAACAAAGATATCTTAAAATCGATGGATCGATCTTTCCGTCCTACGGGAAGCATCCAATTATTATTATTATTAATTTTTTTTTTGGTGAGGGGTTGGGTTGTGTTATGCTGAGGGACGCAGGACTTGTAAAGAGGTAGCAAAATCACTGGAGGGTATATAGATTTGATTCGTCTCTCCTGCCCCCCGGAAACTTCTAGTTCAGCTTTTGACTTTGTCTGCACAACCAGAAATAGTCTTTCATTTGTCTCTAACGAATAAAACAGGCTTTTTGGTATGTTTGTAAGTGCTAAAACCATGTTTATACATGTACATCGATTTAATATGTCGCCTAGTTAACAGACGGGAAAAGGGAAGGAGCCAAAAATTGATTAAATTCTTCAGGGTAAAATGGATCGCAAAGCTGAAGTTGCATTTAAGCAGTATTCAGTTATACAATGAATTCGGCACCATATTGTTTTCTGCGGGCCACGCCCTGACTATCCATGATCTTTCTTTTACAATTTATTGTTGCTCTTCCGTTGTATATCACAATTTTGTATCTTCTACATTTTCCTGTTCAAAAGTGAGCTTTAAATTGTTGTGATCCATTGTCAATGTTCGTCTCTGTATCACTGGCGCTAAATGTGCAGCCATCTCAACCCTTCCTGCATTTTCTTGGCTGCTCATCTAGCGGTATGGATCCGCGCCTGGAAATTAACAGAGTATTCAAGAAGCAGCCATGGACAGCTGCTTTGCATTTATTAAAATTCATCAGCACAACCTAGGTGGAAGCTTTTACAAAACAAATCTAATAAGCCACATATATGTACTTATGACAAGCAATGAAACAAGGCTAATTATGCTACCAATTTTCATTCTCCTTTTATTTCAAGTACAGTAATATCAATTTTCACTAGTTCAGAGTTGTATACAAGTTACCTTCAAATTTTCACAAATTTTGAATAATTTTTTTGGTAAGCGTTCCATAGAGAAAACAGGTGATCTATCAATTTTTGCCGAAAATTCAAAACTTTATAGACCTCTATGATTGTCAGCCTTTGTTCTTCTATCAGCTGGCCAGTTATGCAAAATTCATTACATCCACTTTGTCTTCTTTTACATTTATTAAAAGTCATTTGTAGCAAAATAACCATTATCAACGAACCTTGTAGGTCGCTACAAGTCTGTTTCTCATGCAACACTAAATAAAGAGTTTGCATTGACCAAGAGATGACAAATCAGACAAATAAATCAACCATCAATCACCTGGACGATATGTCCTTTTCTTCGGTACAAGTCATCGCTTGGAGCTGTGCTCTTGCGACGGAAGCTGTTGTTATTGTCGTGGGAAACTTGCTCACAATTGTACTTTTTGCACTTAACAAGAAGCTACGATCTAAGAAAAGTTTATAGCGGGGCTCCCGCGCGCGCGAAGCGCGCGTGGGACAGAGCCCCATACCCATGGAATATGGTCAACCTCTTTTCGTTTGGTTGTCACGTGATTGACCGAGCGTACGTACGTACGTACGTACATACGTACGTACGTACGCGTCTACAGATTGTATGGGTGGGGTAGGGGAGACTATCAAAAGGAAGGGAGGGGTGTCTCAGGCGTGTCTTGGCAAGTCCACATCTTTAATATAGGACATTAACAATATGGTCAATTGACAGCTGTCCAAACAGGATAGCCACTGACCAGTATCCCATGACCATATCGCGGGCTCATGTGTCAACTCATCGAGGTGACGTGATTTATTTGGAAGCTGTCCGCTGACCAGTTAACTGTTTTACTAGATCGCGAACAACGTTCAATCTCATACTTTTACTAGTTTGGGAGCACAGGAAAACTGATAATGCACACATATTGGACATCAATGTTTTGATCAATTGACAGCTGTCAAAACAGAGTACCCGCTGACCAGTATCACTTGACCGTATCGCGGGCTCAGGTGTCGACCCGTCGAGGTCAAGTATTTTTTTTGAAGTTATCCGCTGACAAGTTAACTAGTTTTCAAGTGATCGCAGGCTCAAGTTCAATTTTTTTTTCTTAATTCATATGAAATATGTTGTGTTTATGTGCTGCACAATTAAAATTTTGATTGCAAACTGACCTCGGACGTGAAAATTCAGCCAGCTGTTACAGGCAGGGAAGACAGTTGCTTTTGTTTTTTCTCACAATGGTCACGCGTTGGTCACGCTCTACGTCCAATTTTTATGCTCTGATTGGTCAAAATTTGACAGGTGAGTTCATGCGCAAAATTTATGCAGCATCTTGAATCTTGTTTACTTTAACAGCTGAAGCTGACAGAGTTTTGTGTCAACTTGTGATGTTTTTTAACTGTCTTTTTCCACTGGATGTACAAAATGAAATTCAGCTGCTATCAGGAGTCTTCTGTTACTCATGGCTAGTTTGTTTATTGGGTTTTGGTTGAGAAAACGTCGCTTGTCAAAGTCGGAAATCCGATTTCGGATGGCATCGTTTTCGTTTTCACCTTGCTTGATGCGTAAGAGGATTGCAAAGTCTGAAGCGATACTGGCTTTACCTGATAACTTTCAGGAGCTGCATCTCGAATGGTAAGCCAGAGAAATTATTGTATTTCATGTTTGTTTTTTGTATCTAATTTAATGAAGTGGAGCGTAGTTTATGCGGGAATTTAGTTTATGCGCGTTTGTAAGATTTGAGACAACGATCTCACCGAGTATCTGGTTTGATATAATCTTACAGAACTTTAAAAAGCCTTTAGACAGTTTCTCACCGCAAATAGAAAGAAAATGTTCCAAAGAATCTTTAGTTATAATTCTAGCCGGAAAAGAAAGCTTTGAGCGATTTTCTTGCCTCGAGTTCGTCTTTGAAAAAACAAACACCGGGAAGCTGGCTTAAAACATAAACTTCAGCAAACTTAAACTTGAAGCTTGAAGATTCAGGATATTTAGGGACACTTTAATACTTGTCTTCCTGAATGAAAATTGTTGTCTCTGTTTATGTTTCTCCGAATTATATTTCTTTTATTGATTGTTAGTAGTCTCTCTTGCAATTTTAATCGCTATGCCGATTGTTTTCAGTCGTTCAGTGAACATCGCTTGCAGGAGTTCTCAAAATGCCGCGCGTTAAACCATCAAATAAAAAATAAACATGATAAATTCTTTATTATCTTGGAGCGTGACTCTGTTAATGTTCATTCAAACACTCGCTACAGCTCGCACTACAAAAGTGAGAACCGGATGGCCGTATAGGTGATTTTGGAAAATTTTTTTATCAGTTTATGAATATTGAATGAGAGCAATTTGTATTGTGAAATACTGCTTTCTGTCCATGGTATAAAAGGTTGGTTTACACGCACCCAGATTTGTTGGCAAGATTTTGCAAAGTAAACTTGTCGAACGCCAAAACGTTGGCCTGGTTTTTTTTCTAAGCCTAATTGATCTACGGTGATCAATAGCCATTACGGCTCTTAAATGTGATAAAAGATGATTACCAGTTTTTGAGTGTACATATGACAGGGGCACCCAACGGAAATTTTCGGGAAAATATCTGTTCGGAAGACGATTTGAGATCTAGAATTTTCGGAGCATTTGTTGTATAATTTCTTGCTTGCCTGCCCCTCCTAGGATTTTCGAACATCGACAAAATGGTATAATTACCCATTTTTAACGGATTTTAACCCTAAAAAAGGCCACCTAGAATTTTCGGGAGCCTTTTCCTGGCTGAAGTTTTCGAGAAGGTAAGTTTTTATCCCTATAATTTTCGGATCACTAGACTTTCAGCTAGGAAATCCGAACAGATGAAAAGTTTTTAGGGGATAAAAATATGCCTATATCTACCGTTTGAATACTAAACTACGTTCAACAATTCTATGTTAAGTGGTTTTGAACTATATCCTCGTTGGGTGCCCCTGATATGAGGCTATCAACTCGATGTAAGATTTGGTTCACTCTCGGGCTGTTTGCAAATTATTTTTCTCTAAAATCAGGTAGCCTTTCCCTCAAAAGTCACATAAATGTGCTCTAAAGTTAACTGAATTGTGGAATTCGAATACAAGTTTATTGTTTAATTTAAATTATAAATTTACTAATGGGAGCCTCGCTTTTAGTCCTGGCTAAATCTATATATTATCTTGTTTTGAATATGGCATTTGCTGATCTGTTTCTGGGAGGTATATCTCTCCCTCATATGTTTACTCCCTGGGTCTTGGTCAGGTTAAATTTGATGAACAAACTCCAACGCTTTTTACAATTATTTTCCTCGTTTTCGCTCAGGCGTCATTCATTACCGCTGCTTTGATATCTTGTGAGAGATTTTACGCCATCTATTGGCCGCTGAAGCACCGGCAGACACTTTCTACGCGAGCATACAGGCTCGTTATTTTGACGGTCTGGACATTAAGTATCCTTGGTTCTCTTTTCACAGTTTTTCTCCCGCAATTCTCAAGCCTGGTGGCTCTGAATTCTTTCCTGTCTTTAATCTTCGTGTCTGTACTTCTAATCATCAGCGGCCTCAATTTTGGTGTTTGGAGAAAGATTCAGCAACAAACTGTTCCTCATCACCAAAAGAGAGTCTTGCAAAGACGACGCTTAACAAAGACTTTGTTATTAGTGTCTCTCATCGCCTTGGGTTCTTGGCTTGCACCTTTGGTTTATAACTTGATAGCCTTTCTTGGATATAGGATGTCTAACAACATTTCCCGTGGATAGCGCTATCCACTGGATAAATCACTATCCACTGGATAACGCAATTAGTTTTTGTAATACTTATCCACTGGATAGCGATTTTTCCGGTGGATAGCGCTATCCAACTTTTGAATGAAAATTAGGGACCTTAAGCAACTACTACGACGACGACAACAACAACGTCAAAAAACAATGCAATAATAAAAGATATCCTCGTGCAGTGTTCGCTTAAAATGGCGAGTAACTTTCTCCGAAGGGATGGAACTTGCAGGTGGTCACATAATTGGTTTCCAAAAACTGTGCTTTGAAAATCAGTACTAAGCTTTCATCCCAAAGTCAGTCTGTTAGCGCGTAGAAGGATGGCGTGTATCGTGTAAAACGTCTATTTGATGTAAAAGTCAGAGCTATTTGCCCTTGATTTTGTGGTATGTTCAAGTAAAAATCAAATAACCTACCCATAATGAGTCCCAGCTCAAAAAACAACGAGTTCTAAATTGAAAATGTTTGGTCTGGTCTAACCAGACAGTTACTGAATTTGAAGACACACTCCAAAACTCTTTATCACAGTTTACTGAAATTAAAATATAGTCCTTCTATTTAAACAACAAAAATAAGGGGACTAAAACAAATATGCATCGTTAAACAACAGCCACATTAACAGCCACAGAAATCACACGAACAGGATTTTCTACAAAGACGTCTTCAGGTCAATCGATCGATTGATTGATGAATATCTCACTAACAACCGTTTGCCAAACTCTTTTAACTTTGAACCCATTATTCCCAATGATGCCAGTGCCCAAATTCAGGCCTTGCCCCTCTACAAGTCTTATGGCATGTTCTCTTGTCCTGTTAAAATCCTAAAAGGCTGCAAACACATATATTAGCCAGCCACTTGCTAACATTTACAATTTATCTGTCATCCAAGGTAAACATCCCAGCAAACTAAAACTTGCCAAGATTGTGCCAGTTTATAAAGATGATGATGATGAGTCCCGCGCAAGCAATTAAAGGCCTATTTCTCTTTTGTCTATATTCAATAGAATATTTGAAAAACTAATGTATCAAAGACTCAGTAAATTTATCATTAAGCACAATATATTGATTAACTCCCAATACGGCTTTAGGAGTGGTCATAATACTCAACATGCAATTCTGGATATTGTTAATACAATTCAGAGTAATATGAATAGTGGTAAATTCACCTGTGGACTCTTTATAGATCTGAAAAAAGCCTTTGATACTGTTGATCACTATATTCTTCTTCAAAAACTTGATTTTTATGGCATCAGAGGTATTGTTAATGATTGGTTCCGATCTTACCTAACCTATAGGAAACAAACCACTTCAAATGGCTCTTATATTTCTAACAGTGAAACAACTTTGTATGGTGTTCTACAGGGCTCTGTGCTGGGCCCACTTTTATTCTTATTGTATGTGAATGACATTGCAAATTCTTCAAAGCATCTTTCGTTTTATTTATTTGCTGATGATACAAGTATTATTTATGCAAACAAGAACCTCCATAATCTTAAACAGATAGTTTATTCTGAACTAAGTAATGTCAGTGACTGGCTTTTAGCCAATAAGCTAACCCTTAATTTCAAAAAATCTAATTTCGTGCTTTTCCGTCCTCGGCAGAAATGTTTAACATATAATCCCTCTATCAAAGCTTATGATCCAGCTATAAATGCATTGAGTACCTTAGAAAAGAAAGATTTTGTCAAATACCTTGGTGTTCTGATTGATTATGAACTTTCCTGGAAAAACCATATTAATCTAATCTGTTTAAAGATAAGCAGAACCGTGGAAATTCTAGCAAAGCTTAGACATAGTATTCTATTACGTCCCCTCATATATATCTATCAAGCCCTTATCAACCCCTATCTTTATTATGGCATCTGTGCTTGGGGCTCTGCACCTAAAACTTATTTAAATAAGATACTCTTAATTCAAAAACGAGCCCTACGCCTGATTTACTTTACGGATTATAAGCAACATGCTGTACCATTTTTCTTAAAATCAAAAGTCTTTCCCCTATCCTTTATTTACTTTGATTGTCTTTGTAGTATCATGTGGGACGTTGCTAACAATTCTGCACCTGAAAATATCAAGAGAGCCTTTACTAGGATTTCTGAGGTGCACTCATATCCTACCCGATCTTCTCTCAATGATGATTTCTATACCGAACACTCAAGGCTTGAAAAAATGCGTAGTTCTTTTCTAAGAGTTGGACCAAAAATTTGGAATTCTTTACCCTCAGATATGAGAAACTTACCAAAATCTACCTTTCGGAAAAAGATAAGGAATAAGCTCTTTGAAATTTTATCTAAATCTGATGACTATCTTGAAATCACTGAAATCATGCATCAACTTAAATTAAACTAGCTCAGGAACACAACTAAATTTATATTCTCTGTGTAAATCATAATGCAATTAAATTAGCTTAATACATACTATAGTTGTTATTTTGCGACAGCTGGTACTGTTTGTAAAATAGTTCTTTTTTTCTTTTCTTTCTTTAAATTTGTGTGTCTCTTCCCCCGCCTCGATTAGGCTCTCCTATACGCGGGTGGAAGCTATCGTATAATTGTAAATTGAAAGTGAATGAATAAAGTTGAAGTTGAGTTGAGTTGAGTTGAATCTTTGCGTCTTATGGGACGCAGGTACGTACGCAGAGGTAACAACATCAGTGGATGTAAAAAGGGTTTATTGGTCCGATCCCTTTCTCCGCTACTCCCCTTCGGAATGTCCAATGGATTAGGATATTTTCTCCATTGCCACGAGTTTTTTTCAATCATTGTCATCATCACTGTTTGTCTGCACAACCAACAATATTCCTTCATTTGTTCTTAACGAATAAAACACGCTTTTTGGTATGTTTGTAAGGGTTAAAACCATGTTTATACATGTACATCGATTTAATCTATCGCCTAGCTAACAGACGGGAAAAGGGAAGGAGCCAAAAAATGATTAAAGTGTTCAAGGTAAAATGGATCACAAAGCTCAGCTGAAGTTCGCTTCAAGTATTATTCAGTTATCAAATGAATTCGGCACCATATTGTTTTCTTCGGGCCACGTCCTGACTAACCATGATCCTTTTTTACCATTTTTTGTTGCTCTTCCGTTGTATATCACAATTTTGTATCTTGTACAATTTCTTGTTCAAAAGTGAGCTGTAAAATATTGTGATCCACTGTCAATGTTTGTCTCTGTATCACTAGCGTCAAATCTGCAGCCATCTCATCCCCTGCTGCATTTTCTTCGCTCTTCATCACTTCGTGTTTTGTGAAACAGCATAATCTGAGAGCGTCTTTGAAATCAGGAATTCTTAGTGCGTACACTATTGGATTGATAAACGAGTTGGAGAAATAGGTAAAGTACGTTATGAGGGAAATGTTGTTAGATATTCTATATCCAAGAAGGGATATCAAGGAATAAATAAAAGGTGGAAGCCAAGAACCCAAGGCGATGAGAGATACTAATAACAAGGTCTTCGTTAAGCGTCGCCTTTGTAAGGCTCTGTTTTGGTGATGAGGAACAGGTTGTTTCTGAATCTTTCTCCAAAGACCAAAATTCAGGCCGCTGATGATTAGAAGTACAGACACGAAGATTAAACACACTAAAGAATTCAGAGCCACCAGGTTTACGAATTGCAGGAGAAAAACTATAAAAAGAGAACCAAGGATACTTAATGTCCACACTGTGAAAATACCGAACCTGTATGTTCGCGTAGAAAGTGTCTGCCGGTGCTTCAGTGGCCAATAGATGGCGTAAAATCTCTCACAAGATATCAAAGCAGCGGTAATGAATGATGCCTGTGCGAAGACGAAGAAAATTATTGTAAAAAACGTTGGAGTTTTTTCATCAACTTTAACCTGACCATGAGCCAGGAAATAAACATACATAGGGAGACATACAGCTCCCAGAAACAGATCAGCAAATGCCATATTCAAAACAAGATATAAACTTTTCTTAGATCGTAGCTTCTTGTTAAGCCGTGCAAAAAGTATAATTATGAGCAAGTTTCCCACGACAATAACAACAGCTTCCGTCGCAAGAGTACAACTCCAAGCGATGACTTGTGCCGAAGAAAAGGACTTATCGTCCGGGTGAGTGATGGTTGATTTATTTGTCTGATTTGTCATCTCTTGGTCAATGGAAACTCTTTCTTTAGTGTTGCATGAGAAACAGACTTGTAGCGACCAACGAGGTTCGGTGATGATGGTTATTTGTCCACAAATGACTTTGAATAAATGTAAAAAAAAAAAAGACAAAATGGATAATTTACATAATTGGCCAACTGACAGAACACTGAACAAACGCAACAGTTTGACAATCATAGAGGTCTACAAAGTTTTCAATTGTCGGCAAAAAAGTGATAAATCACCTGTTTTCTCTATAGAGCGCTCACCAACAAAATATTCAAAATTTCTGAAAATTTGAAAGTAACTTAATATGTACAACTTGAAAATAGTAAAAACGATTGAATTCCTAAAATATTACTGTACTTGAAATAAAAGAATGAACTGAATTGGTAACATAATTAGCTTTGTTTCATTGCTTGCCATTTGTACATATTGTGTCTGATTAGATCTGTTTTGTAACAGTTTCCAGCTAGGTTGTGCTGATGAATTTTAATAAATGCAAAGCAGCTGTCCACGGCTGTTTCTTGACTACTCTGTTAGTTTCCAGGACCGGATCCATACCGGTTTCACCGCGTTTTACGGAAATCGGTGATATTTTTCATAATAGATATTCTTTAGTTAAAAACCTTAAACTTTCCAAGTTGAAATATGGAAAATGGTTTGGACCTTGAGTTAATATCCTTTCTGAGTGACTCAGAAACCCAGGAAAGGGGACTTTGGGGAGTTAAAATCCAAAAAATATTCCCGGGGAACCATGCCCCAAGACCTCCCTAAAAGTAGGAAATCGGTGAGTAATTAATTCTTGATCCGCGCCTGATTTTTTTCCATTTTGCCACTGAATTGTCTTACTTTGGTATCTCCTTTTCTATTCTAAGCTGGCACAGTCGGTTTGCTTGTTGGCAAGGACAATTTGAGATATAAAATATTTTGCGTAGGTAGACTTTTTAAGCGGCATTTCGTCCACTTTAGCAGGATAAGGGATTGACAACACCTAGCATGCTAGCAAGTCATTTACAGTTTCCAACGCGAGAGAAAGCAAACCGCAAGAGAACGAGCGAGCGAGTGGCAAAGCAGCGAGGAGCTGAGGAAAGGAGAAAATCACATCCGCCCTAAAGAAAACCTTCCCCACCCCTTGTTCTCGCGGCTCCTTTCGTGTATTGATCGCGCCCCTCTCGCGTGCCGCTCGCGTGCGACTTCTTACGAAAAGTGAAGATGTGGTGAGAGACTAACCTGAGTGTTGTCAACTGCACAGTGTCTGTGAAGGACACACTTATGGAACAAGCTTTGAGAAATACAAGAACGGAACATTGTATAACTGGGCAAAATATTTGCTGTAAGGTGACTCGACCCAGTTATTTTGTGAGGGTACCATCTTACTTTGAACCTCTCTGGCATCCCCACAGTTACTTTGATCGTAAGTTTAACATATAGCATGGATAACATATAGATCAATCTACAATATAGGATAAAATGTTTGGCGATCGGAGTAAATGTCGCTTCTCTTTGGGGTCTGAGTCGAAATTCTGCTGTTGCCGGCATTTTTTCGTGAAAATGTCTCGGCTACGTATAGTGCGCATTAGTGCCTTACGTTGAAGAGAGTTTCATCAAAATCGCAAAGACCCAATGCGAGAAATTCAGCGGTTTCCAAATTTAGGTCAGTATTTATGTGAAAATGATAAGCAAACTTTACACGATATATCTAATAAACTATGAGATTTATCCCTTTATTTTGGGGATCTTTATAACATATGGGTCCTTGCAAGTCAGCAAAGAGCTTTAGGGCCTTGTAAATGCGCTCGATTTCGAGCAATGCGAACATATAGAAATTATAGCTTTAGCTATTTGTTAATGTTTGTAAGCGTTTAAGGGTCCTTCTCACAAAAGCATTTTCTTAAAAAATCGTAGTTTTTTCCTTCAAATTTTTTCAGGGCAACAATTGATTAACTAACTACTCCGATCCTGAATTTCATGATCATTGAAAAACTGTGACATTATCTTCTATAAGCCCAAATTTGAGTAAACATCGAAGATTTTTAGCGTTTTAGCTGAGTTTGTGCTTTGGGAGTTTTCTATTGTTTCTAGTCTGTCATGATACAGCATTCTTGTTCAGCGCGCGTGCAGTGACCTCGCTTGGCTGACTTCCGAATGCTTACCGAGATATGATAATTTTGGTACGGTGAGACAGGCGATCGCGTGATACGTGATCGCGTGATCATAGAGGTTTAACCCACGATTTTTAATCAATTCTCGTGCTTCTTGTGCCTTTGCAAAAAAATCGAGAAATGCTACACACTAAATCTACTTACTATTGAAAAAATATCATTTTTACATAGTTTTAATTCTTGGCATGATGTACACTCAGTTGGCTGGAGACGTTACGTGACGGGAATCCCTTCTATTTTCTCATACTAAATTATCATATCTCGGTGAGCATTCGGAAGTCAGCCAAGCGCAGTCATTGCAGCAGAATTTCGACTCAGACCCCAAAGAGGCGTGGCACTATAACCACGTGACATTTACTCGAATCGAGAAAAGTTTTATGCTATATTGTAGATTGATCTATATGTTATCTATAGTATACGTTAGACTTACGATCAAAGTAAAGGTGGGGATACCAAAGAGCTTCAAAGTAAGATGGTACCCTCACAAAATAACTGGATCGACTCACCTTCATAGCAGTCATTTAAATGAGAAACAGTACCAACAGTCTTCCGTCAACAGCAACAACAACATACACTGTAATTTTGAGGGAGTTATAATAACTCCTCTAGTGGGGCTAATTTAACTCCTTACGTTGGAGTTATTTTTCGTGGAGTTATTTTAACTCCAAAAAGGAGTTTAAAGAACTCTTTTTCAGGAGTAAAAGTGACCACAGATATTGAGGAGTTAAAATAACCCCAAAAAAGGAGTTATCCTGTACCTAAAATTTTTACTCCACTTTCAGAGTTAAATTAACTCCAAAAAGAGTAAAAACAACCCATGTAAGGAGTACATGTAACCCCATTTCGGAGTAATTTTAACTCCAGACTGGGAGTAAAAAGAACTCTTTTTCAGGAGTAAAAATGACCCCAAATTCGGAGTTAAATTAGGAGTTTAAATAACCCCAAAAAAGGGGTTATCCTGTACCTAAAATTTTTTCTCCATTTTTGGAGTTATAATAACTCCCTAAAAATTACGGTGTACCTATCAGTAAACACCAGTTAAATTAATGCCCTTTTGGTGTAATTTGAAAACTTGAAGATTCAGTATACGTGCGGGCTTTGACTGTACTTTTTTACTTGTTACATGAAAGGAGGAAATAAAGTTACTTGGATTTATAGGTTGACTCTAGCCCCGGGGGAGGGGGTACTCCCTTATATGGTTTATACGGGGATCAGTGGTGCTGAACAGGGTATGGTTTTTGACCCCTCTGTTCTCAAAAGTATATAATTTCGTGTGAGTCTGTCAATAGGGTATTGCCTCGGGTATTGCCTGCACGATCGATTTGGACTTTTTTTTATTTATACTCTAATTATAAATGACTATAACGTGAATTTGCTCTTGCGTGCGTTCTGGCCTTTTTCCTAAACAGGGTAATAGAATAAAAGTTGTTGTAACAAATAGCGTATTATTTTAGGAATTTTTTTGTCTTAAACAGGGTCAGGGTTTCAAACTTTCAGCGGCTCAGGTATACTCTGATACTGGTCGAGTCCAGCCCCGGGACTCTAGCCTGTCTTCGTTCTGCATGCTCTTCTACCACACCAATTCTCCTCTCCCGTGCTCTCTTCCAGAGTCCTCTCCCACGTTCACTTCATGGTGACCCTCCACCAGCACTTGCCCTACTGACTGTACCCCTCCTCCTCTTATACCTCGCGCACCTCTCCTTCGATCTCCATCAACTGATTGGCCTCTCTGGGTTGTGGGACCCTGTCCACAGGGCCTCCTTCCTCTTCTTCCCTGTCTCCGGGTGCAACCTGTCTCTTTGGGTGCCATTGGAAGAATTTGACTAGGAACAAGCAATTTCTCCGCCTTGTGAGAACCTCTTCATGGGCATTTCAAAGATACTGACGGGATAATGGACAATGTGCGTAGGTTATTTTCCTTGCACCAATCAGTGCACTGGTGTTGATCCCCGAGAAACAAATTCAACTAAGTTGAGTTGAAAGCCATCTTCATCTTGCCCAAAATGATGTCAAGTGTTACAAAATCCCAAGCATGTAATGCCTTCTAATTGTAAGTAGACCAATACTGGCTGCAATCTTCGGTAGAATTGTTGCAAACGAATCCATAATTAATTTAGATGCACGTTTTATGTCTATTTGTATTCGTGCATCAAAAAAGAAAAACCTGTGTCAGGTTTTCAAAGCTGGGTAAGGTAATCCTGGGTTTGGGCGAAAGTGGAATTTAGAATTTCTTGAAAAGCAAATTCAGTTTCATTCCTTTTCTCTACAAATTAATGATTGTATGCTCTAGAAAGTATAGAGAAAATTTTCGAGAAAACACTTTTGAACAAAAGAAATTAAAAGAAACCCGGATTAAAAATTAATGCCGGATTTATAGTGCTAATTGGCCTATAAACGACTTGTAATCAACAAATCGCTGTGGCGTAAACAGCTAGTTGCTTCATGTCTCGGTGAAAAACGGAATTTAGAAAGGGGAAAAATAGCACGAGATGAGAATAAATGATGGTAGAAAAAGAGATAGGTACCGGAAAATGAGTCCTTTTTACTTAAAGCAGTAAGTATTTATGGCAAGTTTATGGTATGTAATACTTTAATGAGTTCACTGTTGTCGTTGCGACAAGAAAAACAATCATGAAATGTGAGTTCCGCGTAGGAAAAAAAGTAGACTTCTACCTCGACATTCTCGGAAGGGTGTTCTTGCAACGCACACCGAGTTTTCATGCAACGCAATAGTTGTGGTTCTTCGTACTTGATGGCAACGCGAAGTGCAAAACTGCTGAGCAC